TCAAGATTACTATATTAATATTGATGATATCAGGATTATTTTAGTAATATTGATGATATCAGGATTACAATAGGAGTATTGATGATATCAGGATTACTAAAGTAGTATTGATGATATCAGGATAACTAAAGTAGTGTTGATGATATTAGAATTGTTATAGTAATATTGATGAAATCAGGATTACTATAGAATAGTCGATGTCTGATTCCCTTAGGGGTTCAGCGGCTCTGGTGAATTTCCGCCGACTAGTAATCCAATCTTGCACGGTAAAACTTCCGTGATAAAATCTACGGGGAATCTTCACCCTTAACGCTGGTAAAATATTACTTGAATACAATGCATCCTTGATTTCCTGCCCAAATCAGCCTTGAAAATAAAATATGATGAAATAGTAAACTTGTTCTATTTTCAATTAATATAATGAAAACCCTTACCATGTAATCATGAAAGAAGAAACGGCCTATTTAAAGCAATGCATTTAAATATTTCCAGGTAAACCCTATTATAGTCATTACGCAGTACTTGTCGTACATATGTTGTGTTTTCAGCTGACATCGGGAAAACCCTGCCCACGTAATCATGAAAGAAGTATTGTATTTAAAGTGAAACAACATCTATTTACATTTACCACGTCAACAGCATATATTAACAGTTAAAGCTCACACATTTACATTTAAGAGACGACTTGGTGCATATCAACATCATACACACATCTTCTGATCTAACCGCCGAAAGATGGCAGGTATGTGAATATGTTTAACTTTAAAAAGGATTAGGATGCACATATGATATAATCGATCAAAAGATTAGAAAACTTGTATTTGTTTACCAGACAACAGTCCATTATGACATACGTTTACACCCACTTTGGACGTTACATTCCGAATGATAAATTTAATTTCCTTTCCTTTGTTTAGCCTCAAGATTAATATATCATGTTGTATATATTTCTGTACGCCGATTTGGACTAGTAGTGTTAAGACAGATTTTTTTTATATTAATCTACCTTTATAAGAATGCATAGAATACATGTTTTAGATTTTGGAGATGTTGGGGTCGGAAGTTAATTTGTAAATGAAATTTTTAAATATAAGTTTATTTATAGTATGATCTGTTATAAGGAGAACGTAAAGTTTTTATAGGTAGGTATTTCTCCAGTTTAAGAAATGTACTCTGTAGTAGGGACAGAAGTGTTTGTATGGATGAAATAGTTGTTAAAGAGATTATGGTATTTCATGTCGTGTTTACTTCCTTATACAAAAGGGTTGGAAACTAAACAGAATCTACCCTCACTACACTTCCGGCCGCCTCAAAAAGACTAGTATACCTGTATATTGTAAAGTTTAAGAAGTGTGGTCTGCGCTAGGGAGCAGTTGAGACTATTATTGGAACGGTGTTTCTTATAACGGGCTTAGTCTTTAACACTTTCTATCTTTTAACCTCAATGACTGAAGATTTGATGCTGTCTAAAAGGACCCTGAAACTGAATTATGTTGAAAGGGATCCGGGCGCAATTGAAAATGGGTCAGCCTAATTGTGGACTCCTTAATTTGTAAATAGGTATTGTTTGTGGCCGTCTTTTTGCGAACATCTTAGTAAGAAATCAAAACTCGTTATAATTTTGGAAATAAATGTTTAAATGTGATGATATAGAGAGTGTTCATCCTTTTGGGTTTTAGGTATCGAACACAATTTAAAACATCTATGAAACATAACGACATTGATATTTTTTCTTAAAACCACATACACGCAGAAAGATCTTGGATATATTGAGTATGCCTGTTATGTAAGTTATATAAGGAAATATCTTTTTAAGTGTATAGAAATATCGATATCAACATTGCATACAAAGGTAACAATTAAAAAATCATCTACTAATAGGACTTTCGGTTTCAGGGGAACAAACACAAACTTTGTACCACCACACAACTAAGGACGGAGCTAAGGGGATATTGAAATCAGGACGTATCTTGGCATCGACTGATATGAAGATTGATGCCACATATGGTCAAGGTGTCTATATGACCAGTTATGGTCCGGAGAAAAGCCAGTACCAAATAGCATTGAATAATTACGGAGATGGACTCGCAGAACAAATGTTGCAAGCGGGCAAGACGGACGCGATTATAGCCATTGACATGCCAATAAGTCAGTTTATCAAGGTAAATTCGGATCGTGACATTTATATAGCATACGGAAATGTCACACTGGCAGACAAGAAATTCTCTTTCTATATCCGAGATGTTTATGGAAATGCTATAATTCAATTACAATGTAACTCTCACTTGTCATCAAGAAGTTATTGTAATGTGTTTTGAAATTTATTCAATATATAATATTAGAACCTAAAAACTTGTCATTGTTATTACTGATTATGTACGTTTGTTCTGTATTGGTATACTGGTCGTCAGAAATGCATTAGTTATTTTCCGGATATATGTGCTGTGCCAAATTGTTAAAATTAGTTTATACCTGATTCCGAATTTTAGTCGTGCCGAATTTGGATTTTGTTTTGGTTGAATGCGTTGCAATAAATGAAAGATGGCCATCTTACACTTTCAGCTTGTGCTTTTCTATCCCCTTTTCTCATAGGTGATGTTCTTTGTGACTACGTGGTCCTACTTTCGTTTCCATTAAAATCGCTCTTCGTGCTATGAAATGACAACTGTTATTTAAGGAGTCTAGATTGCAAGGATTGAATTAATCATTCTTAAACTAAGTGTTCGTTTTCATATTCTACCAGGATCGAAAATTTCCAGCCATAAAACATTTATCAATAATTTTGTTCCTCGTGTTCATTTGTGGTAATTTTCCGGATATTATATTCTGTGCCAAATTTATTAGAATTAGTTTATACCTGATTCCGAATTTTTAGTCGTGCCAAATTTGGTTTTTGTTTTAGTTGTATGCGATGCAATAAATGAAAGATGGCCACCTGCAGCTCGAGCCTTTCTATTTCCCCCTCTCATAGGCGAAACCAGCCAACAACATTATACTAGTATATTACAATGCACACATTCATGGACTTAGATGACATAGATGAAATAATAAGCAGCATCCTCGATACGCTTAGAATATGTCATACCAAAATTGAAGGCACGCGGATATCTCTAGTGGTTATTTTCAGTCACTTTGAACGCTGAATACCGGAACATTTTTGAGGAGACGATGTTCAAGCTTGCCCAAGATCTTGAGAGCATGAGACTCCAAATTAACATATATTCAAATTATTGCACCTATCTTCAAATAATTGAAGATACACTGTATGTACAATTGATTGCAGATATGTCCAATTCAATTGAAGGTAGGGGCAATTCAATTGAAGATAGGCTCAATTCAATTATAGATGGTTCAAATATGACGAAGTGAATCTTTCATCAATAGGATTGTACCTATCTCCAATTGAATTGAACCCATTTTCAATTGAAGTATACCTATTTTCAATTATTTGAAGAAATATACTATTAATTGAATATATATTAATTTGGCGTGCCATATAAGAGTTACAACATAAAAACTTAACATCACTTTAATTCAATTTCTGCAGTATACATTGTCGGAATGCGAGCATTATTATGACATAATTATTAAAACGTTATTTACAAGGATTGTTTTGAAGATTTCAAATCCATTATAAACGAGGCAAGTCCGTATCCTGATCATTAACCAATTTTTATTTTCATTTACATGAAGCTACTAGTATTTTTTTTAGGAATACTGTCCTAATACATTTAACCAGTTTAACGTTTTGTCCAGTGACTGATACATTCTTCAATGTAATTCATTCGTGTTTCGAAATAAGCATGCCGGTCATGTGGTAGCTGGTAAGAAATAATAGAAGCCAATTGATGAAGAAGAGTCTGCAAATTCTACATATATTTCAAGTACAGGAGGGTGTTAATGATCAACAATTAGTGTCCTTTGACATTAGTTACGATGAAAGTGAAGTGTAATGACTAAGTAATGTAGTCATGGCAAAACACAGAAAATGTCAGTATACATTCAATATTCGGTGTTCCATCGATAGTTTGATACGTATTTTGAATTTCTGTTAAGGGTGACCGTGACTTGTTATCTATTCATGTAGTACATCGATGCCCTCAGCTGTATTGTTTATTGGACATTTCTCATTTTGAGGCAGACCTACCACGGAGCCAGAGACGGACACTGAAAGAAGTAAAATCAGGGATCATCTCAAAATTATTTTTCATTTCATCTGTATTAAGATTTTTGTCCGCTGCTTGCAACAAAACACTAGCGAACGATATTTTAGTGTTCCTTACCTGCAGTAACATCCCCTGATTTTCATTACATGTACAACTGATAAACTTCTCTTGGCTGATCTCACCTTACTGATTTTTTTTTCAGATTTTTTTTAAATCATGGTTAATACTGAAGACAAAAGACTCGGTGCATGCTAGAGTTGATTGCAGTAGTATAGAAATCCTAGATATTCACTCACTGAAATGATCCCTATAACAGTCTTCTAAGAATAGCATACAATTATTATGCACCTACCCATATTTAAATATTTTGGTTGTGTTGCATGAAGAAAATTCCATGTAAGCTGTCGATTTGAAATAAGTCGAAAATAGCTGAAAATTGCATAAATTTCTACTTTTCTTCTGTTTTTAAGGAGAATAAACAAGAACATATGTCAATACAGAAAACCACTTCTATTACGCAATCATGTTACGGTTGCGAAGGAACATTCATAAACGTTACTTTATCACGAAGGGATGCTAATAAACGTCCTATTGTCCAACACCCTCTATACAAAAATGCAAAGGAATGAAGTGAAGAAAATGTGTGGAACAAGGACCTTCAGCTTAACGCTATTATAAAAAAGACACCGTGTAAGCGTTAAAGATTTATTACGTAATATAGAAATATCGTGTCCAAAGAGGTTTGTGGATGGTAAATTTAATCTGCAAATGTGATCCGTCACTCTGGTAAAAAAACAAACTTCTTCCAACTGATTTTTTTGGCTCGAGGAATTTCTTTTAACTCAATCGGTGTCAGAAAAATACAACAGACGTCCCGGGTGAGATCCTAAATGGAGATATTGAAATATCAATTACCACGGTCACATACAACTGCACCTGTCCTATTGAGCCACGAAAAAAACTATAACGACTGTGGCTATCGGTTACATAATTTCTTACCTGATCGCTTACACACTCTGACATACCCTATACGCTACGTTCAATATAAAAGTTATTTTTGAAATGACCCCTGTATTTACTTCTCTGGGTCTCTGTCTCCAGGCTCCGTGCTATGTCTACCCCAAAATGAGAACGGTCTATTAGAACTGTACTGTACCGTAACATATCCGTAATATTAGATAGCATTCAAGTAAAAATGAAACTGAAATAGTTCCACGAATCGATAGTAAACATTTTCACAAAACCAAATGATGATAATGAAACTTCAATAGTTCCACGAATCGATAATTTATATTTTCACAAATCGAAACAGGTAATTTTTAGACCTGTGTAGATGAAATAATACGCCGACACCATCACTTTCCCCCCTGGAATATGTCATACCAAAATTGAAGGCACGCATATAGCTATTTGACTGGTCTCGGGATAAAACAAAACTGACTAATCGCTAGTCTGATACCTGTCCTTTGAAGATTACGGAGGAGCGACACCCGACTTTAAAGCCAGGCGTTTTATTATCAATATTATTTGATATTTTTTTCTGTATAATCGTTTATGATTGAAGTTAATAGAACACATCACAAAGGACTAAGGATTCACAACGTGCCCTGTTATACGCCCACAAGACGTGCCTGTGGTGATTTCTTAAAACTGTGTTGTCTGTTTTTTTGAAAAACCCTGACATGTTGATTACGTGTCACTATTCTGTTTTCAAGTTTTCATAAAAATCTGGAAATACCCATTTCCTGCAGATATTATCTTGTTTAAAGAGGAAGTACATTCATTTTTACACCAACGTCCTCAACAAAGAGATTAACATTTCAAAAGACCACGTACTCCACACTGCTAAATATAAATACAGTGTATCTCCTAATCAAGCCAACAGCATATAACAGGAAATGGCAAATTTAGACACTCAAGGACGAGAACTGAAATACATCATGAAACAATTGAAAACAAGTAAAACTTAAACGTGTGTTTCCTATCAAATCTAAACACATATGTGGAGTACAGCGATACCAACCTGTTGATTGTGTACGAATTTAATTTAATTCAAAATACCAATTAACGTGTATGCAAAACCAAACGTAAATATTGTGTGACTGAGTCATTAGTGTTGCTGATATTAATCAAACTAGTTTATGAATGTTCATATCAATATGATGGGGTACGAGTTCAACAACTTTTGATATATCTACAGCAATATAAATAGCTTATTGTGCAGTGCTTGATATCATTTGTTTTTTATGTTTATCTTGTGGCGTAAAAAGATGACTAATAATATTAAACAACCTATTTGTGAAAAGCACTAAGTCGATGCCAAGAGGCAATAATGTAGTGAACATACAAGCATGTGACTAGTTATTTAAAACTACTACTTCTTAAGTGAAGAACTGTCGATCAACTAGTTTATGTGAAGAACTGGATCAACATCGTAATACAAGAGAGTACTGTTGCCATATTTAGTGAAGGACATTACTAGAAGAAACTAAGTGACACCGAGACGCGGGATATTCTATCATCGTTTTAACATACCTTTTATATCGAACCGCCATAGAGAACTTGTTGAATTGCTGTTTATATTAGTGAGTTTGAATGTTTTAGCTTGTCCTTATTGATTTAATCACTTTTAATTATAATATTACGAATCAGGACAAAAAGAGGATACATGTAAGGAAATTATAACTTTGTAAATACTAGATTGATAATGCGAGAGGGTGAGGAACCTTTTGTGAGAGTTGATGTGAGAAGCGATTCGATTCGTAGAGAACGATCATGTGATCATGTGAGAAAGGTATAAAAGGGAGCACGAGAGACGTTCATGTCAGACAATCTTGTGTCTTTGGCAACGACAATATTATTTTTAAACCTTCACTACTGTGGCAACGCTTTATCCAAGGGAGTTAACTTCTACTTCTAGGGAGATAACTTCTACTCTTAGGTATGTAAATAGTTATTTACTGTTAAAATAGATTAGTAGTACTATCTGTAGTACTAGGCTTATACTGTACTACCGTTACCATAATGATATAGTGCAAAGTAACTTCTACAGATATTGTATCAAATATTCAGCCTATTTTCTTGTTAAACGACACAAGTTATTCTATATTTTAAGTTTTATGCAGTACATTATTGTTTCCCACCACACTGACCTCTGACAGTATGAGAGTATGAGGTTTGAGAGTTGCAGCACCCATGTACATATATATGATTGACAACATGATGTATAATAAAAACATGTCAACTGCTTTTATTGTGTTTATGAAGTAACTCTTATTAATGACCACAGAAGACCAAAGACAGGCCTGTTACAATACTTCTTCACTTTGTTTTTCTAGTAATTGTTTACGTCACACGGTTTTTGTCTCTGCTGGTGGAGTATCCGTTCCCGAGGTTTGCAATAACCTGCATCGGTTTAATATTTCTTTTTCAGTGCGTGCCTTCTTATTCCGTATCTCTAGTGGTTATTTTCAGTCACGTTGAACGCTGAATACCAGAAATGTTTTTGAGGAGACGATGTTCAAGCTTGCCCAAGATCTTGAGAGTATGAGACGCCAAATCTACATATATTCAAATAATTGCACCTATCTTCAAATAGTTGAACAAAGTTGTACAATTGATTGAAGATATGTTCAATTCAATTGAAGATAGGCTCAATTCAATTAAAGATGGTTCAAATATGACGAAGTGAACCTATATTCAATGGGATTGTACCTATCTCCAATTGAATTGAACCCATTTTCAATTGAAGTGTTCCTATTTTCAACTATTTGAAGAAATATACAATCAATTGATTATATATGAATTTGGCGTTCCATTTTAGAGTTACAACAAAAACACTTTACATCACATTAATTCAATGTCTGCAGTATACATTGTCGGAATGCGACCTTTATTATGAAATAATTATTAAAACGTTATTTACGTTATTTAAGGATTGTTTTGGTGATTTCAAATCCATTATAAACACGGATCATTAACCAATTTTCATTTTGAATTACATGAAGCTACTAGTGACTTTTTTAAGAATAGTGTCCTAAAACATTTAACCATTTTAACGTTTTTCCCAATGACTGGTACAGTCTTCAACTTAATTTATTCGTATTTTGAAATAAGCATACTGGTCATGTGGTAGCTGGTAAGAAATAATTGAAGCCAATTGATGATAAAGAAAAGTCTGCAAATTCTACATATATGTCAAGTACAGGAGGGTGTTAATGATCAACAATTAGTGTCCTTTTACATCATTTATGATGAAAGTGAAGTGTAATGACTAAGTAAGGTAGTCATGGCAAAAACAGAAAATGTCAGTATACATTCAATATTCGGTGTTCCATCGATAGTTTGATACGTGTTTTGAATTTCGGTTATGGGTGACTGAGACTTGTTATTTATTCAAGTAGTGCATCGATGCCTTCCGCCAGTACTTTATTTTCTTTCTCTTATAGCGGCCTCGTCACTGACTGATTCGGCCCCATGCTGGGCACTTCCTCTTCCGGCTTCATTCCACATTTGTTGTAACATTTGATTATTGTGCGTTGTGTTACATAAAGTCTTTACTATCAGAACACGGTGTCATTCCTTATTGGCGTGGTGGCAGCGGATTACCCATGCCTAGAAGACTCTGATGAACATGTAGTAAACCAACAACGTGACATCTGTACTTTGAGATGAAGGCTGTAACCGTGACTTGTTATCTATTCAAGTGATGCATCGATGCCCTCAACTGTACTGTACCGTTACGTAACCGTAATATTAGATAGTATTCAAGTGAAAATGAAACTGAAATAGTTCCACAAATCGATAGTAAACATTTTCACAAAACTAAATGATGATCATGAAACTTCAATAGTTCCACGAATCGATAGTAAACATTTTCACAAAATGTAATGATGATAATGAAACTTCAATAGTTCCACGAATCGATCATACACATTTTCACAAATCGTAACAGGTTATTTTTAGCAAATAGACATACTCGGGTGACCACAGTGTTGCCCTGTTTCTCCGTTAGCTTTAGTAACGAATTATGAAATACTGAATAGTTGGATGAATGATAATGAATTTGTGATGTCAGATGATATCTACAACTGTTTCATCATTAAAAAGTCGAATGCATTGTAAAGATTAAACATCATGCAATTTTTGTCACTGTTACGGTGTACGGTTAGCAGTAACCTGCATCGGTTTAATATTTCCTTTTCAGTGCGTGGTTCCTTATTTCGTTTCTCTTAATGGCTATTTTCAGTCACGCTCAACACTGAATATCAGACACAATTTTAGGAGTCAATGTTTATGGTTGATCAAGATCTTTAGAGTAAAAACTTCACATCACATTAAAACTTTACATCACATTAATTCCATTTTTGCCGTATACATTGTCAGAATGCGACCGTTATCATGAATTATAAGGATTCTTTTGAAGATTTGAATTCCATTATAAACGATGCAAGTCCGTTTACTGATCATTAACCCGCATTAGGAAAAAGTACCAAACTGAAGCATTATTAGTACACTATATAAATGATTAATTGAACAAATGATTGTTCTTGTGTTTTCGTGTGACAATTAATTAGACAAACTACATATAAATGTCAAGGATATTATTCAGCACATCGTTTGTTATTACAACTACATTATATAATATGGTTGCACATCCCTAAACGCACATCAAATATTACTTGAATACAGTGCATCTGTGATTCCCTGCCCAAATCAATAGTACATTTGTTCTATTTTCAATTAATATAATGAAAACCCTTACCATGTAATCATGAAAGAAGAAACGGCCTACTTAAAGCATTGGGTTTAAAAAATTCCAGGTAAACCCTAATATAGTCATTACGTAGTACTTGTCGTAAATATGTTAGGTTTTCAGCTGACATCTTGAAAACCCTGCCCACGTAATCATGAAAGAATATATACCCGCGTCAACAGCATATATGAACAGTTAAAGCTCACAATTTACAGTTAAGAGACGACTTGGTACATATCAACATCATACACACATATTCTGATCTAGCCGCCGAAAGATGGCAGGTATGTGAATATGTTTAAGTTTAAAAAGGATTAGGAGGCACATATGATATAAACGATCAAAAGATTAGAAAACTCGTATTTGTTTACCAGACAACAGTCCATTAGGACATACGTTGCCACACACTTTGAATATCATATTCCGAATGATAAATTTAAATTTCCTTCGTTTGTTTGGACTCAAGATTAATATATTATGTTGTATATTTCTGTACGCCGATTAAGGACTAGTAGTGTTAAGACAGATTTTTGTATTTATTTTTTTTATTTTATTAACAATTCTATCATATCATGCATAGAATACATGTTATAGATTTTGGAGATGGTGGGGTCGGAAGTTAATTTGTAAATGAAATTTTTAAACATAAGTTTATTTATAGTGTGATCTGTGATAAGGAGCACGTAGGGTGTTATAGGTAGTATTTCTCAAGTTTAAGAAGTGTACTCTGTAGTAGGGAGCAGAAGAGTTTGTATGGATGAAACAGTTGTTTAAAGAGATTATGGTATGGCTTGTCGTGTTAATTCTTTATATAGAAAGGTCGGCAACTAAACAAAATGTAACCCACGATACTTCCGGCCGCCTCAAAAAGACTAATATACATTGTACCTGTATATTGTAAAGTTTAAGAAGTGTAGTCTGCGCTAGGGAGCAGTTGATACTAATATTGGTTTTACTAATAACGGGCTTAGTCTTTAACACTTTCTATCTATTAACCTCAATGACTGAAGAACCCTGAAACTGAATTATGTTGAAAGGGATCAGGGTGCATTTGAAAATGAGTCAGCCTATTTGTGGACTCCTTAATTTGTAATTAGGTATTGTCTGTGGCCGTCTTTTTGCCAATATCTTAGTTAGAAAGCAAAACTCGTTATAATTTTGGAAATAAATGTTTAAATATGATAATATAGAGAGTGTTCATTCTAAAGATGTTCAATCAAACCCTTCCTTTTGGGTATTAGGTATCGAACACAATTTAAAACATCTATGAAACATAACGACATTGATAATTTTTCTTAAAACCACATGCACTCAGAAAGATCTTGGATATACTGAGTGTTTCTGATATGTAAGTAATAAAAGGAAAATATTTTTTTAAGGGTATAGAAATATCGATATCAACATTGCATAAAAAACCCATCTACTAAAAGCACTTTTGGTTTCAGTCGAAATGGTAAAAACACTGAGGCTGTTCCACCACACAACTAAGTATGGAGCTAAGGGGATATTGAAATCAGGATGTATCAAAGCATCACCTGTTAAGAAGATTGATGCCGTATATGGTGTCTATATGACCAGATTAGGTCCGGAGAAAAACCAGGAAGAAATAGCATGGAATAATTACAACGACAAGCCAATTGGTATCGCAAATAAAATGTTAAAAGCGGGCAAGACGGACGCGATTATAGCCATTGACATACCAAAAAGGCAGTGTAACAAGATTGAATCGGACCGTGACATTTATGTTGTATCGGGAAATGTCACTATTGCAGACAAGAATCCCAAGATTTATTTCCGAGATAAAGATGGAAAGGCTGAGGAGTATAAACCCAGTTAGAAACTTTAACCCTTACTTGTCATCAACAAGTACTTCTTATGTGCTTTGAAATACATACTTTTATTAAAATTCGTTACTTTTTAATTCCTGTCGTTATATAATCACACATATTTCCTTTCAAAGTATTTCATTTCTTTGATAAAATATATCCTTGAACTTGAGAGGTAGTCAATGTTATTACTGATTATATACGCATGCTAGTATATCACAATGCACGCATACATGGACTTCACATCAATGACGTGTAAATGAAATAATACGCCGACAGCATCCTCGATACCAAAGGGGTTATGCTCACTTTCGCTCTCTTCACCCCTGGAATATGTCATACCAAAATTGAAGGCACGCAGATAGCTATCTGATTGGTCTCAGGTAAAACAAAACTGACTAATAGCTAGTCTGATACCAATCAATAATCTGCATCGGTTTAATATTTCTTTTTCAGTGCGTGCCTCCTTATTCCGTATCTCTAGTGGTTATTTTCACTCACTTTTAAATACCAGAAACATTTTTGAGGAGACGATGTTCAAGTTTGCACAAGATCTTGTGAGTATGGGACGCCAAATTAACATATATTCAAATAATTGTACCTATCTTCAATAAATTGAAGATATGTACAATTGATTGCAGAAATGTTAAATTCAATTGAAG